ACCGAGGAGCCCAGCCTCCCCTCAGAGCCGGAGAGAACCGGCCTGGGGCCTGAGTCGCGGACGGACGGACTGGCCGAGCCTGAAGCAGCTGGCCGCGGAGCGGCGGCGGAGCGGCCCAGCCAAAGGACGGAGCCGGGCCGGTCCAGCCCCCCGACACAGCCAGAAGAGAGCAGCCCCTGGTCAGAGCTGGAGGCAGCCGGGCCCGAGACCGAGACCGAGACCGAGACCGAGACCGATGGCTTTGGGATTGATCCTCAGCGGTCCGACCTCCAGGTTCAACCAGGGACGGACAGTCCCGGCGCACAGCCCGGCGTGGATGGGCCCGGCACAGAACTAGAAATACGTGGGTCACAGACCCAGCCTGCGGGCGGCCAGCCCTGGGCTGGTAACCTCCGGACCCCTCAGAACGAGTCCAGCCTCCGGCCCGAGCCGGAGGAGTCCAGTCCCTCAACGGAGCCGAGCGCTGATGGCTCCTGGGAAGAACTGTACCCCGATGGCTCCAGGACGCCACAGGATTTGGAAACTGTGTGGAAACAGCCTGACATTGGTGGTTTCCCTACACAAGATTCTGATGGTTCCTGGTCACAGCCTGGTGCTGATGGTGCCCAGACACCAGATACTGATGGACCCCAGACAGAGCTTGAGACAGACTGCCTTTTGGAGGAGCCCGGCCAAGATGGCCCATTAGTGGAACCAGAACCTGGGGAGTCGGTGACTCACCTGTACTCTCACCTGGAGTGTACCTCCCTGACCCCTGTGCCCCGGCTCATCATCACTCCTGAAACCCCTGAGCCTGAGGCTCAGCCAGTGGGACCCCGCTCCAGGGTTGACGGGAGCAGTGGCGGCTTCTCCTCTGCCTCCTCTTTCGACGACGAGTCTGAGGATGACGTGGTGGCCGGGGGTGGAGGTGCCAGCGACCCCGAGGACAGGTCTGGGGTGAGTGGGATCCATCCTGCCTTTGAGCTAGAACCGTCCCCCCCCATGCCGAATTCCTCTGCTTTGCTTTGAGAAGTTGATCTAGCACCCCCAGCAATTTCATCTCCAGCTCCCTATTCCATTCACCGACCTTTTCCCCCTGGCAGGTGGGTTCTTAACCCTGACCCACTGCCTCCAGGCCTGGGGTCTAAAATGGCCACTGGCCCATGTCAGTGTGGTGCCCAGGAACCTTTGACATTGTGTGATCGTGTGAGTCTGTGCGCGCACACACATTTTTATAGCAGATCCTTGGGAGAGTCTGTGACCCCAAAATCTAAAGCACACGGGTATAGTAAGGCAGAAACGTGCACTTTCTATCCCAGATTCCGTGGACTGGGCCCGTGGCTGACTCAGGGCCCATCCACTTTATAGGGAGTGAGTCCACCAGTTTTATTAGATTCTCAAAAAGTTGTGTGAACCCCAAACACCAAGAGACCCCACCACCACTCCTGCCTCCAGCCTAGCTGGGGACCCTCCTGTCTCCCTGTAGTCCTCCAACTCACAGGGGCTGGGGGGCTTGCACACTCTTGTTTATAACCTCAACCCTCACCCTCACCCTCAGCCTGGGTGTGGTTCTGCCCTGGTGAATCAGGAGGCCAGCCGGGCAGGTTCAGCTCCCAGGCAGGTGTGAAACAGGGAATCTCACCTGGGCAGGTCTGCTGGCTGGGTTGCCTCCCCCTGTCCTTGGGCCTCTGGCTTGGGTGTCTGCCCTGAACCCCCCACCCACCTGCCTCACTTAGGAACATGTTCACACATGTGGCCACAGATGTGATACAGACAGACCAGCCTCAGCTTGTCTGTGCCTGAGTCGAGGAACTGACCCTGGCTTTTTCTGTCGCTGCTGATTCCTCTGCTGCCTCCTCGCCATCTCAGAAGAGCTTAGCTGCAGGTGGATGGAAATAATGAAAAGGGTAAACGCCATAGTTGTAGCGATGGCGGTCAGCACTCCCTGGTGCCCAGCGTGTGTGAAGCTCCTCACTGCTGTGAACTCCGCTCATCTTCCCAGCAGTCCTATGCAGTCGATACTAGTTGTGCTCCCATTTCTTTCTGGGGACACCGAGGCACTGAGGGGTCAAGACACTTTTGTCTAAGTCACAACCCTTGGAAGACTCAGAGCTGAGATTCAAACCCTTACTGAATACCACACACTTTTCCGTGAGCCGTCTCCGTGGCTTTGGCTGCCTGCAGGGGTCATGAACCTTGACCACCCTTCACCGCATTCATTTTTGTAGAGAATGAGCCCAGAAAGGATTCTTGGAATCTTTATGACTGCGCTAGGAGATTGGGGTTGTTATCTCCACTTGACAGATGCGGACACTGAGGCATCTTCAGTGTGCAATTGTGTGCTTAACGGTGGCCAGGGCTGGCGAGCGTCAAGATTCGAACTCAGTTCCAACAGAGTTGAAACCTAGTCAGTTTAAGCTCTGTGGGGCGCGCATCCAACTCTAGCTTGCTTTCCTCCCAAGCCTCCCTGTCTGGTTTTTTCTTCTCTTTCCAGAATCCGTCCCAGCCATGACCAGACACTTCTGCTCCACTGCCTTCCGTAGTGGCCAGAAGGCCGTTCCCAGCAGCAGAGCTCCCTCCTACCCGGCCTCCCCTCCGCTGACCCTCTGCGCAGAGGAGCCCTGTACACACTGTTCCTCCCACACCAGCCCGGTGCTGCCTCCGCCCGTCGCTTAAGCTGTGTCCACTGCCCCGGCTTCCTTCTCCCTTTGTCTTGAAATGCCACCTGACTTCAACTGGGACTCATAAGAGACTCAGCACCTCTCTTTCTTCCCGCTCTGCTCTCCCTTCTCATCAGACAGCAAACAGTCCCTAGCCCTCAACATGCATCTGGCCTAGGTTGGACTAAAACAGTCCTCATGGACTCCCAGGCGAGGGGAAGGGAGAGGCCCATCCCCAGGCAGAGACAGCTCAGAGCCTTCAGGGTTGATGGTGGGAATCCAAGGAAGTGACTGACCAGACTGGGGGGTATCAGAGAGGGCTTCCTGGAGGAGGCGTCATGGGCGCCGAAACCACCATGAAGCCATGAAGAAGCCCATATTAACCATCAGATCTAAGAAAAAAGAGAAGATACAAAATGCGCTTTTGATTTTAAAAAAAGATAGTTTTCAACTGGCCTCTTTAAAGCTCAGCAACATTGTTCTGAGTATCTATTGTATGTCAGGCCAGGGCTTGGGACATGGTCATAGACATGACGCCTGCAGCCCCTGCCCTCAGGTACTTGCATCCAGCAGGGCTGTAGCAGCTAAGTCCAGACAGAGATGGAACCCCAGATATGTGCTGTGTGATTTAGGCAAGTAGCTTCACCCCTCTGAGCCCGTTTCCTCCTCTGTAACACAGTCAACAGTCCTCCTGGGGTTGTGTTTTTAGAATTAAGTAGCTTATGGCACACTGAATCTTTGTCATCGTGCCTGGAATGTTCCAGGTGCTTAGTAAACAGGAACCTTTATTAATCACCTCCACCCCACAGCTGGCAGCTGGAGGGGGGAGGGAACAGGCTTTCCTGAATCGGCAGCCCCCCATCCTGCCTCTGTTTGACCTTTCCACTGTCTGGTAGATGTCTACCAGGCAACTGGACTCCGACAGGATAGGAGAGAACGTGCTTGATCCTGGGGCTGAGGGTGGGCAGTGCCTGGACACACAGCTTCCTTCTTGGGAGATGACCTGTACTTGCTCAGGGCCTGTGTATACTTGAAGCAGAGAACATATTCTCCTACTCATGTGTGTGCCTGCACACGCACGCATGTGAATCAGACACTGGCCAGCTCTCACGAAGCTTTGGGTCGAGTTAGTGTGATACAACGAAATCCTTGTTTTCTCTTTGCTTCTGTTTTCCTGTTGGGTTCTTTCCCTTCTCCCCGGATTCCCTGCCCACCCACTCCTGTCTTTGTTAATTTTTCCTTTCTCAACTTTTTGTATCCGTAGCTCTCTGTCAGTCTTTTTGGGTTGGTCTTTATCAGTCAGTATAGGTCAGGATTTGATATAGTAACACATAACCCCCAGATTTGGTGACTTGGAACAACAAAGACTTGTTCAGTTCGTTCTGAATGTTGACCCTGTGTCAGTGGTGGGTGAAGGTCTCTACTCCATGCTATCCATACTCAAGGCCCAGACTGAGGAAGCTTCCATTTTCTCTTAATTTCACTTAATGTGTTTTCTACTTATTTGTAATTCTTAAACCCCCCTCCCACCCACCCACCCCTCACACACAAGGAAAGTCAGGCTCCGATTTCAAGGGCCCTCCCCAAAAGGGATCCTTCTCTCATACCTCACTGGCAGAGCATCAGTAACCTAAGTTCAAGAGGGTGGGATGTCCCCAGTGGAGTTGCTCTTTACCACCAAACCCGACCTAGTGTTGCTCATTTGAGAAGGACAGAGAGACACACAGACAATAAAGTGACAGAGACGAGGAGGCATGGACAGGAGATCTTCCCACCTTAGTGGAGGCTTTTGCGGGGATCTTGTACGTGGACTTTGCTCATAACAGCCAGCTTGGGATCAGTCACTCCATGAAACCCCCTGGTGCCGGAGAGCCCCGTGTCCACCCTGGGTCCTCACATGACAGTAATCTCATCGCCCTCTCCTTGGCCTCAATCCTGACCCCACCCTGCTCTGTCTCCACAGAACAAATCCTGGAAGAAACTGAAGACCGTTCTGAAGTACTCGCCCTTCGTGGTCTCCTTCCGCAAACACTACCCTTGGGTCCAGCTCTCTGGACATGCTGGTGAGAGCAGGCCCAGGGCTGGGCTGGGCTACTCTCTGCAGTTTAGTCTTCCCATCTGGAAAATGGACTTGGGGACAGTCTCCACCTCATGGGGCTCTCTGAGACGTGCTTATGCCTGGGCCGGGCTGTTCCCTCCGACCCTGGTGTTTGTGGAAAAGCCACACCTGGGGGATGCGTGATCCTGGCTCCAGTCCTGGCTCTGCCCTTTATTAGTAGGTGACCCGGGGCAAGTCACTTTCCCTCCCTGGGCCATTTTCTCATCTGTGTTTGGAAATTAGCACTTCTGACCTCTGCCCACATCCAGAGCCAGAGCATAGTAGGTCGTCAGTAAGCAGCAGCCTGGATGTTTTTCCCCAGGATCTGACAGAGTGTCTCTCCCACATAATACTATATTGCCTGTTATGTAACTCTGTGTGTGTGTGTGTGTGTGTGTGTGTGTGGCTAGATGCTCTTAGGTTTTGTGGGCACAGAGTCTCTGTTGCAACTCACTGTTGCTGCAAGAAGGCAGCCATAAACACAGGGACATGTCTGTGTTCCAGTAAAACTTTATTGACAAAAACAGGCAGAGAGGAGACCAGAGAAACTGCTTGCAGTAAAGAGATGCCAGACGGGAACGTATCTTAGATCTAAGTCAGAGAAAAGACGAGGCCCCCCTAAAACCATAAACAAAGGCCTGCTATCTATATGTGTTCTAGTTATTATTGCTCAGTAATAAAAAAAAAAATCAGGACCCTCCCTGGTATGCAACGGGTTAAAGCACAGCACTATGACACTAGCACAGCCACTTCAGCATGAACCCCACCCCCAGCCAGGAGTGAACCACAGGGCACAGCAGACCGCTCCTGTCTCCGGCGTGTGCCCCTCAGCAGTGTTTCAGTCGATCTGCCTGTTCTGCTCCCCACTCTGTCTCTGATGAATCCTCTCACCACCCCTGAACCTCCGGCCTGTGCCCCAGTTCAGTAGACATAAAAAAAAAAAAAAATCAGACAACAGAAAACTAAAACTTTAGTAATTTCCAAAAAATACCAGTGGAATAAAATAATCCTTTGATTATACTCATGGGTTTTGGGTCAGGACTCAGACAGGGCCTGGTAGGGATGACCTGTTGCTGCTTCATATCTGGACACTCAGCGAGGACAGCTCAAGGATTGGGCACTCTCAGAGAAAATTCTGGGGAATCATTCACTCACATGGTGACTGATGTGGCCTGTTGGGCCTGACTGGACCTCAGCTGGGGTGGCTGGGTGGAAAGCCTGTCTAGATGTTCCCCACTGTCTGAAAGGGTTTTTCCAATGAAACTCTTCAAAATGGTGTAAAAGCAAAGATGCAATTATTGTTAATTTTTTTTAGGGGGTTTTGAAAGCCAGACATACAGGGAGTGAGAGGATTCACCAGAGAGAGACTGGGAACAAAACAGACAGGTCCACTGAGATAACTGCTGAGGGGAGCAGCGGGCGGGTCTGGAGAGGTCTGCTGTGCCCTGTGGGTCACCTCCGGGGCAGGGGGTCGAGCTCGGGCAGTCGAGGTGATAGCCCTGAAACTTAACCCCTAGGCCACCAGGGAGGCCCTTGTCATTAAGTTGTTTGAGCAAATTTTTGAGTGTCCCCACATACAAAAGCTAACCTACTAAATCATACCCAGAACCACATAAAACCTACAATAACACATAGTAAAAGGAGAAATGTTCTGACAGATACACAGCAGGTATGGGGAGGTGTTTGGTGGTGCCCTGCTGCGAGGGTTTCACTATCTTTATAACGACTGCTGTGAAACAAATGCAGAGTACATTTTTGCCTTTTGTTGTAACACATACTAGTATAAGTCTTATGAAAAAGCCAAGCAGACAAATGGGAACTTTTTGAAAAGTGTGGGATCCCACTGTATGTTTTCACCTGTAGCTGCTTGGCCTTCCGCATAGTGTGGTGGCTTCACAGTAATTAGATTTCATATGTGACAACTCAGAACTGTAGCTATAGGTGTCTCTGTCAACAAAGTGGAAATTGTAGCTCCTTTTTGTATTTAAAGAGTTACTTATTTATGTATTCAAGAGCTGGGGTGTAGGCCAGAGGTGCAGGGGCTGAGACGGTTCATCAGAGACAGAGCGGGGAGCAGAACAAGGGGATCTACTGAGATACACTGCTGAGGGGGACAGTGAGGAGATAGGAGAGGTCTGCTGCACCCTGTGGGTCACTCCCTGGCCGGGCATTAAAGTTGTGGCGGGGACAGCTTCATAGTGCTTAGATTTAACCCTTTGTTTCACCAGGGAGGCCCAAAACTCATCTCCTCTATGACTCCTAAAGGACTCATAAAGTCATAGTGTCACTTAGGCCATAAACTTCTCCCAGATTCATGGGAGAAGAATTAGGTTTCACTTCTTGCTGAGGAATGGCGAAATTCCAGACGAGCATGTGGGATGTGAGCTACTGGTGCAGCCATCTTCGGAAATTGTAATCTGAAAATACTGCCTGCTTCAGTAAGAATTTATAATTTTAACCTATACTAACTACATGGCCCAGGAAATGACAGATTTGTAAATTAAGCACACCCCTGGGGTTCTTAGCACTCAGGGACTCGGGCCGAGCAAGTGAAAATCTGCTGTGGAACATCATGCTCTCTTCTCAGGTCTCACAGAATCCCCACCACTGATCATGAGCCACAATCCTCAACTACAAAACAAACGAGGACCCAACTGACTGTGAATGTGGCTCTCTTTCAACAAAGAGCAGAACAGGCCCTTGCCCCAATACCCCAGCCAAGATTTTGAGAGTTTCAGGGAGGGCATGAAAGCATCGTGTATAGAAAGGTCAAGCGAGATGATGGTGGCCAGGATCTGCTGTGTACAGGGGTGGGGTTTTCTTTCTCATCTATCTCTATCCCTCTCACTGATTCTGCTGCCCATAGGGAACTTCCAGGCAGGAGAGGACGGTCGTATTCTAAAGCGCTTCTGTCAGTGTGAGCAGCACAGTCTGGAGCAGCTGATGAGTGACATTCTGCGGCCTTTTGTGCCAACCTACTATGGCGTGGTGCAGCGGGATGGCCAGGCCTTCAATCAGATGGAAGATCTCCTGGCGGACTTCGAGGGCCCCTCTATCATGGATTGCAAGATGGGCAGCAGGTGGGGTCAGGTGGCCATGGGGCAGGGGTGCAGGGGAGAGGGTGGGCTTTCTGGAAAAAAGTGCTAAGTCAGTCTCCAATGCAGTTGTGCCAGCCGGGATTCCCACGCGGGTGTGCGGACCCCGTGTTCTGTATTCTCATCAGCACTTGCTGTTTCCTGTGTTACTAATTTCATCTATAGTGCATGTCTCGTCACGATTTTACATGTGGCCATTGTGATGGCCCGAGAAATCGAGCACATTCCATGTGGCTTGGCCACATGGAAACCATCTTTTGAAAAGTGCCAATGTGGATATTGTGCCTGTTTTTCTACTGGCTACCTTTTTCTTTTTGACCGGTATTTCTTTACTTATTCTACATATTCCAACTCCTTTGTTAGGGATACACACATCGCTCGCAGGCACACATGCAGTCCCCACAGCTCCCATTTCATGGTCTTAATCATGTCCTTTGATAAGCAGAAGTACTTTGAACTTTGTCCAGTGGGACTTTTTTTTTTCATTACAGCAAGTTGTTTTGTGTTTAAGAAATTGTTGCCTATTTCGAGGTCATGAGGCTCTTCTCTGAGCTTCATTGTTTTAATTTTCATTTTTACAGCTGTGACCCACCTATAATTGTTTTTTATCTGTGGTGTGAAATAGGGGTCAAAGTTCACTTTTTTTCCAGAAGGACATTCCTATTGACCCGGCCTGGGTGTTGAAACCTTCCCTTCCCCCACCGCACGCAGGGCCTTTTTTGTCCTGAGTTGAGTCAGTGTCCGTAGAGTGTCTGTCTGTGGACTCTTGTCTGCTTTATCGATCGCGCTGCTTATCCTTGGCCACACGGTAGCTCTCCAACTGCCTCGCCATCAGGGAGTATAAGTCAGTTTCGCCCTTCCTCATCGCCTCTGTTGCGTCCTCTGGGTCCCAGGACCTACCTGGAAGAGGAGCTGGTGAAGGCGCGAGAGCGGCCCCGACCCCGGAAGGACATGTATGAGAAGATGGTGGCCGTGGACCCGGGGGCGCCCTCCCCTGAGGAGCACGCCCAGGGCGCAGTCACCAAGCCCCGGTACATGCAGTGGAGAGAGACCGTGAGCTCCACGTCCACCCTGGGCTTCCGGATCGAAGGCATCAAGGTGAGGCCGCTGCAGAGCATCGGCAGCCGGTTCTGGGCCCGGGCTCCGGGGTGTGTGGGAGAGCGAGAAGGAAGCAGCTCTGCACAGAGCTGGAGGCTGCAGGGGAGCGCGGGTGGGGCCGGGCGGCCGCTTCCCTCACCCCCACATCCAGAGGAGGCCGAGGGTTGTTTATCCAGCTGCCTAAGTGTCTCTTGATTCCATCTCGCCGATCCAGGCCCCGGCCTAGTCTGGCCCGTGTTCTGCTCCAGGCTCCCTGGGCTCGGGGCCGGGGCTCAGCCTTCCCAGGCCCCTCTCCCCCTTCCGTTTGCTTCTTGTTCCTTGTGTTAGAGCGGTGTGAGGAGGTATTCACACAGTTCGGGAGCCAACTGCTATCACAGAAGGGTGTGAAGGGGGATCCCCCTCCCAGCTGTCCTTCCCATTTCGTCCCTCCACACCCACCTGTTCTGGGGGAACCACTTTACCAGCTTCTTGTTTCTTCCTCAAATATAGTCAAATGCAGTCGCACAGCCTAAGTTTTCCTTCCTCTCTGCCACAAAGGTGGCACAGTGTGCATGATCATCGACGCCTTGCTGTTTCAGTGAGCAGGCTGGTCACGTGGTAGGCACAGTGCCCCGCTGCCCGCCCTCCCTAGCCAGCTATGCAACACTTCTTTGTGGATATGCCCCGCACGGTGCCCGGTACATGGCCTCCAGATGGCCTCCAGCGTGTCCGCTTCTTGGCTTTACAAGCAAAATCATTTTGTACATATCTTACGAGTGGGAAGGTTTAGCTGTAGACTGGGTTTCCAGAAGCAGGACCACCAGGTCAAAGGCCAAACTAAATGCACTGGGAATTTGGCTGGAGTTTGCCACACTCCAGACATAGGAGGGTCTGAGAGCACCTGTGTCCTCAGCCTCACCTGAGCGACCTGTCTGACTGGCATCCTCCTGTTCAACATCCTTCCATGGCACCCTAGGACCCTCAAGAGAAGCTCCCCAGGTTCAAGGGCCCTCCAGGGTCTAGTCTTACCTCTCACTCTGCTCTCTCTCCTTGTCAGGCCTCAGTGAGACACTTTCATCTCCTCGGAAGGGTCCTGGCCTTCCTGCCCCTGGGCCTGCACACATGCTGTTCCCTCTGCTGGGACCGGTCTTTTCCTATTGGCCGCCCTCACTGACTCAGTCATTTTCCTGTCTCCTTTCAAATATGTCTTCTTCCAAGAAGCCCTCCTTGATTTCCACCCTGTTATATTGGTACACTTCATTATTTGTATCTGTCTCCCTCCCGACTGTTCTGTTACGTTCTTACTGCCCACATGCACCAGACACAGCATGGCAGGTGACTCACACGGTTTCTCTGTGCGCCACTCAGAAACACAAAATAACAAGAGTCTTGTTAGTTGTGTGCTCACTATGTGCCAGGCACCACGCCATGCATCCTCACTCCCGGTCTCCTCTGGTCCTTGTGCCAGCTTTAGGAAGGCGATACCAACACAATTCCTGTTTTCCAGATGAGGGAACTGACGCTCAGGCAGGTGAAGTGACCTGCTTAAGGTTGCTGACCCAGGAAGTAGCAGAGTCACGAATCAAAACCAGATGCGCTCCCCTCCAAAGCCCCCTGGTTAGAAGAGGCTGTTTGTTGCCCAGGAGGGTGCCTTGGGGCTGGGTAGGTGGGCTGGCTTCCTCTGAACAGCAGACAGGTGTGGGGGCAGGCAGGTGGCCTGAGGCTCCTTGGCATGGGGTGAGGGGGGTAAGCTGTGACCCCTGCCCCCTTTCCCCTGCAGAAAGCTGATGGCACCTGCAACACCAACTTCAAGAAGACACAGCAGCTGGAGCAGGTGACAAAGGTGTTGGAGGACTTTGTGGACGGGAACCACGAGATCCTGGTGAGCAGGACACCCACGCCCCTAAACGCACCCACTCAGACCACTGCAGTCGTCGCGCCCCTAGTGTGTGGGTCTCCTGCACCGGCGGAGGCTGCCTGATAGCAGCTAGTGTCGCTCACGTCAGGTCAGCTGGTGGCTGCCTCACGGTCTTGCTGTGTGACTTGGTCCATCTGGCAGGACCCAGCCGGCTCCCCTGGGCTTGTCCACCCCCTGGAAGCTGGAGCCCAAGAGAACAAGTGAAAAGGCAAAAAGCCCCTCGATGGCCTGTCCTGAATGGCCACGTCATTTCGCCACGGGGTGTTGGCCAAAGCCGGTGGCATGGCCAAACTGACATGGAAGAGAGGCAGAGCCCCTCTCTGGGTGGGAGGAGCTTCCAGGAACCTTGGGTGTACCTATAGGCTGCACTGGCACCCTGGTCTGTGCCACCCTGACCCCATTGCATCCGGCCCCCCTTGCACTTCCCCCTCTGCCTCCCCTTGTCTCCTCGCGCTCGTCGCCTTGGTGGCCTGGGAAAGGGCAGAGCTCAGGGTGGGCCGGGAGCACCAGGTCCCTGTGCTAACCGAGAGCCTCCTCCCCCCTCTCAGAGAAAGTACGTGGCCCGGCTGGAAGGACTCCGTGATGCCCTGGAGAACTCCCCCTTCTTCATGACTCACGAGGTGCGAGCCCCCGCTACCCTGGGAGCCGAGGGCTGTGTGTGTGTGTGTGTGTGTGTTGTGCGCGTGCGCACTCTCTCAGCAGTGCTGAGAAACCACTGACAGACTTAGAGGCCAGAGCTGTAAAAGGCAGGCCCCACCTTTGGGGGTTTGCTTTTTTAGGGTAGATAATGAGGAGTTCAGGGAAGAGGACTGGTAGCATTTGAGCTGGGTGGCCTGGGCTGGAGGCTGGCTGCTGCATGACCTTGTGACACCCTCTGGCGCCTGGGTCTCCACCTGTCAGGAGAAGGGACAAAGTCCTTCCTCCTGAGGCCGCTGAGGTGAGAGGAGCCCTGCAGAGCGCACCACGGAGCACAGAGCTGGGGCCCTTACAGTCGCTGTGCAGCGAGTTCTGATTCTTCTTAGCTGCGTGTCCTCAGGCCCACCCTTGCCCCCTTCCACAGCCTGCTCTCGCCGGGAAGTTCCTCTCTCCGAGGCTATCCCAGAAAGTCCCAGAAAGTCCGATGGCAGCCAGTGTCCTCTCCCACCTCCCCCAGGCTCTTCCTCCTCCTCCCTCCTTTTCCTGACATCACCCACTTCTGAAAAGCACAGGTCTGGGTGGGAGCCTGGGGCTGACCGCGGCCCTGCTGGCCACTCTCCTGGCGTGTGGGGTCTGCTCTGGGCATGTGAAGGGGAGGCGGATTAAGAGTGACAGTCTGGCCCGTGGGCAGCTCACTGCCTCGGGGCCTTGCACAGTCACAGGTGGCCTGGGCCCCGTGTCCTCTGGCCCCGTGGTTTCACCTGTCTGGTGACCACACATTGTAAAAACCGACTTGCCAGCATTTCAGCGTGAGGCTCTGTACCAGCATCGGGACTTCCAGTTTCCCTAGGCAAATGGGGAGAGGCGGCAGCCCTGGGCAGCCTGCCACATGCCAGCAGCTGTTCAGAGCAGGGCGGTGGCCGCCTCTTCTGCCAGGCACCTGCTCACCTGCACCGTCACACCTGGTTTCTCTGGAAGCAGAAGGGTTTGACACTGACTGGAAAAAGGGAGGGGCCTGCATTCATGGAAGCTACTACCTCTAGTTAAAAAACAAAACAAAACACACTGGGTGCTGAAGGAGCGCTGTGCCATGGCGGTGCAGGCCGGGGACCCGGGAGTTAGGGCTCTCGCCATCAGCCGTTCCACGATGACGAGGCAGAGGCCTGCAGGTGGCTGCCCCTTGCTGGGACTCAAGCCGCAGTCCATGGGGCTGGGTAGCCTCTGTCCTCTCCACGGAGAGGGGTTATCGATTTCCTTCGTCCCTCCAGGCTCTCTTGACCTGTCAGGATATTAGGGCTTAAAAAGGGGGGCAGTTGACATTGGGTTAGTTGTGCTCCTGTTGCATCCTGTGCGCCTTATGTGGATTCATTCAGATGTCTAGTGAAGTGAATGATCCTGTTACTCCATTGGTCCCACTTTGTGGAGAAGAAGTGGAGGCCCAGTGGAGGCCCAGAGAGGTGAAGCACCTGCCCAAGGCCGCACAGCCAGTAAGTGGCAGAGACGGGTTGGGATGCAGCAGCCTGGATCCCTAGGACTGTGGTCAGACACTGTGCTCAGCTGCCCACCAGGGAAGCGACCTGGCCCCCCACTAACCATGCTCCTCCCTCCTGCAGGTGGTAGGCAGCTCTCTCCTCTTTGTGCACGACCACACCGGCCTGGCCAAGGTCTGGATGATCGACTTTGGCAAGACAGTGGCCCTGCCTGGCCACCAGACGCTCAGCCACCGGCTGCCCTGGGCTGAGGGCAACCGCGAGGACGGCTACCTGTGGGGCCTGGACAACATGATCCGGCTCCTGCATGGGCTCACCCACAGCTGACCCTCTTGCCTGGTGCCAGCCTTATGTATTAGATGGGCCTGTCCAGCTCGGGGAGCCCCGAGTTTACTGGGGCCCGAGGTTGGTAGGGGGAAGCTGACCTCTCAGGAGGGAGAGGTGTGACCGTGTGGAAGATCCGAAGGCCCTTTTGTGATTCAGGGGTTGTAAGGACTGGAGGGGGCACGGGGTCACCTGCCAGTCAGCATCAGAATTAATCTCTCAGTCCACCCTGGAAGGATTCTGCATCATGCCCCGGGGGCCACAGCTTGACCTCATCCCGAGGCTGCCTGTCACCGCATGAATGGCTATAGTCACTGCCTCCGGGCCAGAGACAGGGTCTCCCCACCTCTGCTGCCCCAGGGCCACATACTCGCTGGGGTGGCCTGTCCGCCTGGGAGGGTTCGGTCCCTCTCTCCTTCTGAGAGTCTCTGAGTGCTGAGGATGCAGGCCCTGAGGAAGGTGACACCTCGGAGTGGCCTGCTGGTGCTGCCCGGGGCTGGGCAGGCTGCCCTTTCCCTGTCCTTCCGGAGGCCTGGGGAGCCTCTGCCGACCTGCTGACCACAACCACAGCCACCTCTGAGCGGCGCCAGCAGCCTCGGGACTTCCTCCTTCCGCCGCCTACTGGGGACGTTTTGATCCTTGCTTCCCAGCTGGGTGCCCGGCAGCAGGGCTTGAGGCCCGCGAGCTGCTTCCTGGGAGTCCGCCGCCTTCCTCAGCAGCACCCTCGCCCCGCCCAGCCCTGCCGGGAAAACCCACCAGCTTGGGGCAGAGGCACAGGGCGGCTGGCTGCGAGCCCAGGCCCACCCAGGTCCAAACCAAAGATCCTGAGCGCCCAGAGCTGTGGGCGACTGGCTTCCCGGCCCCCCAGGGTGGGCTTGGAGACGGCACCTCGCTCGTCCAAGTTGAAGCGCTGCCCAGCTTCCATGCCCGAGTCCTTTTCTACTGAACATCTTTATACTTATTTATATGAGGTCGGAGTCGGGGTCAGACGGGGGTGTGCTGGGAACAGGAAGCAGAGCAGCTCACGGTGCCTGCCTTCCCGTGACCACACCCCAATAAACAGAGCAAAGTCAACTTTATGGAGTTTTAGCTTTTGCATCTGGGGCGTGTAGGTGCAAAGCTCATGATTTGGGCTGTAACACTGGGCGGGGTGAGGATCATGACGCGTCTGGGCAGGTACTCCCCTCATCCTGCGTCCACGGGGCTCCTGCTCTCGGCCCCAACTGCTGGACGATGCAGGGGACATGGGTGGCCGAGCCCCCTCCAGGCCCTGCCCGTGGTGCCTGCCCAGGCTGGGCTGGGGGTGCCGGTGGGGCACCCGGGCCTGGAGGGGGCTCGGCTCGCGTCTGGTTAGAGGCACCACACCGACTAGGCTGTGTAGACCTGCTCAAGCGAGGCCCCAGGCTGGATGATGGGGGACAGACACGCCCCAGGCACAGCTGCCCCTTGGCTTTCAGTGGAGACAGCGGGAGTCCACAAAACCAATCATCTCCACCCCCACAGGTAGCAGAGGCCTGCTTTGAAGCCTGCCCTGTCGCTGCCCGCCGGCGGCCTTAGTCACTGCATGTCCCCCAGCCTGTCTCTTCACTTGTCAAGTGGCATCTGGTCCCTCCCTGAGAGCTGGGGGGTCTGGCGGATGAGTTGCAGGGAAAGGGGACACACACCCCTCTCAGGTATATTCGCTGCCTGGAGCGGAGAGAATGCAGGTGGGAGGCAACTCCAGGAGCATGAGCTGAGAGCGCTGCTAGCACTTTCCTTAGCAGGGTCCCGGGGGGGCCTGGAGGCCAGATGGCCCAGGCAGAAAGCAGGAGGAAGGCCAGCCTGGGGGCAGCACTGTGAAGGCCGGAGAGGCCTAGAGTTCCGCCCTGGTCCTGGAGCAAGGACAGCTGCTGGAAGTTTCTCCAGCAAGGCCTGGTTTGTCATTTAAATTGACTTTAATTTGCTCTGACATGGACAGACAGCAGCTCCTACAGTAGAATGTGACTGCTCTCTGTGTTCAAAGAATCCCATACACCTGGAAGCTGCAAGTGTACAACCTTGGGTTTGCCTTTTAAGGGGCCCTGTCCTGTGTGAACAGAAGTGGGGGGCAGGGAGACAGCAGGGGGCTGCAGTGAGGGGCTCTTGCAGATGTCCAGAGCACACGGTGGTTGAGGAGAGGGTGGTGGCCGTGATGGGCATGGCCTGGGCGCTGAGCTGCTGGCAGTCTCCATCCCCTTGCTGGGACCCCAGCCCCACACGGTGGGTGCGCCCTGCAGGGCCGTGGGAGGCACTGGGATGATGCCTGGGGGGAGCAGGGGGTCCCCTACAGGGGGGCCTCTAGCTGGAGGTCCTCTGAGATCCAGGCTGCTGCAAAGCACTTTGCAAACGGCGGGAGTCAGGCTGTGGCCTGGGCCCGTGGCGTGAGGAGCAGCACCTGGCCGCAGAGGCCGGCCCTCACCCCACCGGCGGGCACCACGTACTCCCGGCCGTCAGCGGCCCTGGAAGGTGAGAGGTCTGTCAGCTGCAGGTTGCTGTCCCGGACTTGGTCGTAGTCCCACAGCTGGTAGTGCCAGCTCTTGCCTTGCTTGGAGAGAAGGTACACGGCGCCCGGGGACCCCTCCTCTGGCAGCGATGGTGGCTGGCACGCCGTGCTGGGCACTGGGTGGAACAGGCCTGGCAGCTCATGGTCCTCAGCATAGCCAAGGCTTGGCACACCTGGCACCCCCAGCAGGACCCCTGGGAACAGAGGGGGTGGCAGTGAGTGGGGGGCTGCACGCTGACAAGTGCTGGGGCCAGCCCCCCTTCAGCCCTCGGGGTAGGCGCCACCCCCACCCTGTGTTAGACACGAGCAGGGGCTGGCACGCAGCTGGCTGGGCTGTGGCGCTGGGCTGAGCCAGGGTGTCTGGCTGCAGCTGCCGCCACCTGGGCTTCTGCCCCTACAGCCCATCAGCCCGGGGAGGCGGCTTCAGACGGCACCAACGCCCTTGCTCAGTGGTCTCTGGCTTTCAAGATCGCGCCGAGGGGCCGGGGCCACAGGGAGCAGGGCGAAGCCTCCGCCGCAGCCGCCCGTGGGATGTGCCAGCTCCTGCGTGTTTTGTGTGCTGGGCCTGTGAGGTGGGTAGTTTGTCACCCCAACTTCCAGTCAGGAGAATGGGAGAATCACAGAAGCTGGAAGTGGCCAGCCCGGGCCTGGAGCCGGGCTTTTGCTCGAAGTGTCTGCACTGAGCTTGTCCGCGAACCTGACTGGAGGATTCTGTGGAGCCTGACAGGCCTGCTGAGTGCACCGTGGGCAAGGGGAGGCCCAGCTGGGTCCCGGCCTCCAGAGTGTGGGCACAGAGACCTCAAGGGGGCGATGGGGAGGGGTCAGGACCCACCTGCACTCACTGCCCAGTGGGCCTTGTGGCCCCTCCTCTGGCATGGCTCGTGGTTGAAGTCCTCGTCGTAGCTAGCGCTCAGGTTAAGGCTGAAGCCTGGTGTGGCCCTGGGAGGACCCGCCCTCCCCGCCACTCCCTCTTGGCCAGAGGATACGGGATGAGCAGGGGCTGCCCGGCCACCAGGTGCCGCAGGATGCGGTCTCTGTTGGGGCTGCCCAGGCCTCCGCAGAGCAGCTCGGCGTGGCAGCCCAGCACCTCCCTGGCCAGCCTGCCCATGTTGGCCGCTGCGGAGACGCGGCGGGCACCGGACAGGGTCACCGTGTGCCCAGCGCCAGCCAGCCCCGAGCTCGCCAGGCTGCCACCACTAAGCTTGCCACAGCCACCACCTCTTTGTACGAGGCAGCAGCGCGTGGCCAGAGGGTCACAGTCCGTGCGGGCCGCACAGCGGGGGCAGACCCTGCGGCGGCCGACCCGGCCTGGTGACACTGTCCTGCTGCGTGGGGCAGGGCCGGGGCCACGTCCCGTCAGCCTCCCCAGCCTCCTCCCAGTGAAGACCACCTAACTCACCCGAGAACATCTCCCCCTGGGCCGTGTAGCCTCGCTCCAAGGCCACCCGCACGATTCTCTCCAGGGGGACCCCGTTGGGGGGCAAGAGGAGAGGGCCTGCCATCCACAGCGCCACAAGCCCGCATCTGAGGAGAGAGGCCCAGCCCCTTACTCCCCAGGTCGAGCCCCTCCCAGCAGCTGACTGGGGGACAGGCGGGTTGCCCTGGGCCTGCTGGGGGCACCTGCCTCCCCTTCACAGGAGCGAGGGCAGCCGAAGGCCAGAGTCTGGGTTGCAAGGCTGGAGTGTGGGCGTGAGAAGAGAGGTCACTGGGACTCCCAGGCGGAGGTGCCAACCCGGAGCTGGAGGTGCTGGCCTGGGTTCACACCTCCTCTCGCTGGCGCAGTCTTTTCAACTCTGTCAACTGCACCAGGGCCCCAACCTAGGTTCCCCCGCAGCCACACCCGTGAACCCTCCCACGCTGGTCCTCAGAAACTGGCAGGCAGGGCCAGCCCTAGCTCAGACACATACTGAGGGCCTTCTTGGATGAGGGAGGGCAGGTCGGCACAGAAAAGGATCCACTGCAAGTCACTCCTGAAACTGAATTGGAGCCATAGTGAGTGACAGAGGCGGTGGGCCTCGACCCCCCCCCAAGGGCAGCCTGACGCGACAGTGAGGGGAACACTGGCTGGTCCTCCCGAGGCCTGAGGGTCGCTCAGGGCTCAGTCTGTCCCTGACTTCTTTCCCCTCCCCTGGGGTAGCCCCTCCCCTCCCCAAGCCTCAGTTTCCTCATCTGCGGAGTGAATCATCCTGCTCGCAGCTCCCTGACCCTCTCAGTTACTGAAAGGGCAAAAAATAGACATATCAAAGCTTTGCAACTCATAGGAGCCAAAGAGATTCATTTGTTAGAGGATATTTCTTGAAGGGGTATCTCTTCTGAGAGTCTCCCCCCAGCTCCCCAAGCCTGTTTCTCAGGCTGCTAAACAGGAAGAAGATTCCGTAACGTAACCTGGAGTAAAAGCAGGCGAAGACAGGCTCAGGGCCCAAGAGAGCACCTTGATAATGAGTTGCTGCAGGCCTGCCCAGCCCTACCCTTGGGGAGGCTGCTAGGAGTCTGGTAGCCCCAATCCCTTCCCTCCCCGGGGTACAGCAATGGCAAGGTCAGGGCGAGGGCACTGTGGGGGAGATCCCTGGTGAGAAGGAGAAGGCCTCATGGCCCCTACTGCTAAGAGGCTGGAGCCAGCGCCCAGTGCCAGTCAGGCTGTCCAGCGCCCAGGCACTATGGCTAAGTGACACATCTCTTCAGTTTCTTCATCTGAAAAACTGGATAATCGCAGTTCCAACCTCTAGGAGCAGCTAAGAGAAGTCGATAAATCAATGCGCAAACCACTCAGAACAGGCTCTGACGCAAGCTGGGCATGCAATGAGGGGGGCTGTTCTTGCCTTATATTCACCCTGACTAAGGCTGGGGCATGTAGAGCAGATTATCTACCTGTCTAGAAAGCTGAAGTTTCTTCTGAATCTGGACAAGTCATTTCTACCTGGTCCCAGTTAGGCAGCTCTTAAGTCTACAGTGTGAGCCCAGGTCTAGCCCCACCCCCTCCACCTGGGTCTCTGGCCCCCCAGCTTCCTCCTGGGACCCCCAGACTCCAGTCTAATCACCTCCATTCTCTGCAGGTAGTCTCCCTCCCTGCTTCTGCAGCTCCCCAGCGCCTTCAGGAAAAAGTTCTTTCCTTCCCACGCCCTGTGAGATCTGGCTCCTGGCCGCATGTCAAACCCATTTTTGTCACTTCCCCAGTCCCATTAAAATATTTGCAGGTCCTTGAAGAGAACATGTCTTCATTTCACATTGGGCTTCATCCTTTCCCCAAAGAAGGAAGATCTGTCTCACTGGATTAGATGCCAGTGAGGACAGGACCTTCCTTGCTGAAGGTTCAAGGTGACAGACCTCAAGAGATGGCCAAAGTCATCTAGGGGCAGGTGGTTAGATGAGACCCTGGGTGGGTGGGCTGGTTCGGGACACCCTACCGGTCCTTGTGTAGCTTCAGGAGCCTCTTCACGTCCTCTCTGCAACTGGGGACTGGGCCAGCCTTCTCCAAGGCCTCCTTCAGGAGCTGACTCTTCTCCAGGCCAAAGACGAGAGGGGGAGCAGCCCCCAGGGCAGGGGCAGGAGGTGGCAGCGGGGGTGGTGGGGGAGTAGGGGCCTGGAGACTGCAGGAAGGGGGTGAAGACGCTAAGTCGAGGAAATTCGGGTGTTGGGGAGGAGGAATCGTGAGACCCTGGGGTGCAGGGGTTTCTGGAGGAAGCTCCAGGGGAGGAGAGTGACAGGGAGAAATCATTTCAGGATCTACGGCATGGGCTGAAAGGTAGCAAATGGGAGAGGGACCGAGTCTCCGAAATGAATTGGTCTGGAGAATGGAGATCTTGAAGGTTTTAGAGCTGAGTTACAGAACTGGGGGGGATGGTGCCGGGGGTGGGGGTGTCGAGTGGGGTATGCAGGAAGCTGAAAGAACAGGCCTGAAGTGTAGAAACGGGCGGGGTTGCAGCTGACTCGAGGAGGACCCGGAGGTTTGCAGGGCAGGTCCGGTCCTTTAACCTTGGGCGAGATTTGTGCTATGAGATTGCATCCCCAGGCTAAAGTAGCAAGATTAAAAATTTACTATCCGGGACTACATACGGACTTTTAGGGGTCAACTTTGGGAAACGAAGCCTCCGATGTGGGGCTTGAAGGCCCAGGTTTACAGACGGGTAAAAATTCAGGCTTGGCCCTGCCCTCACATCCCAAACCCAAAGTGTGGAACCTTTGCGCTGACCTTTGCGTCAGAGGTCAAGAGGTCAAAAGGACAACACGCAGGGAAAATGGCCTAGATGCAGAGAAAGTTCAGGAATCTGAGCGCCACCGGAAAAGGAGCTGGGGAAGGGGCTGAGATCGGAGGATGTTGGGCGCTGCGCTACCGCCGGGACGCAGAAGAAAGTTAGCCGCACCTCCCATTCCGCAAAATGGCTGCCGCGGCACGCAACCTTTGGTCGTCACGTGATAGCATTGGCAGCGGGTGCCCGCCCCTTGTCCGTCACGTGACCCAACGAGGCCGGCGGTCGCGCGGGAGAGGCGGATCTTCCCCACCTCCGCAAGAGACGGTTGCGCGCGCCGCCTGCTGATTGGCAAGAAACGCGTGAGGGGCGAAGCCCTTTCTGATTGGTCCGTTGCCCCAGGGCCCGCCGAAAGTGGGAGGGCTTTCAGAGGTGAAGGAGAGCTTTTCTGCTTAGGCGGGAACCCAAGTGACCGTATGATTGGCAAGAGCTGTGCGCAGGTCGAAACTTAACTCCGATTGGTCACACCACCCATTCTCTGCACGGGGATTGGCTGGCCGAAAGGCAGAGGCGGAGCCAGGAGAGCGCTTTGTGCGGCGTACCGAGCCAGCGCCACTAGGTTGAAGTGTGGGTTTATCGGTGAGTAATGTCGGGTAGGGGGAGCGTTTGACTCCCGGGACTTTTCATGCCTCGTGTGGGAGACACGATTTCCCCGTTGCTTGAGTCACGGGTCGTCCCTCATCTGGGACGTCGTCCCTCCTTAAGTGTCTCCTCCATCCGGGATTTTTTCCTGGGCCGGCTTTTAAGCGCGTGGGCCAATGGGAGTCGCCACCTGGAAGTTCCGCCCACTGGGTCGCGTAGAGCATCCTGGGACTGGTAGTAAACGTCTCGCGATTCCTCACCACGCGGGGAGGTGAAGAGGAGGGTCTGCGCGCTCGCCTTTTACTCCAGGTGGTCCCTTCCTCTTTCCTCCCGCGCCTTCCTCCTGGAAGGATCGTCGGTGAACGACCCGTGAGGCCCAGTTAGGGACAAAAACTAATTTGGAAAAACCCGGGACCGAAGTTAGCCGTTTCCTTCTTTCAGCCCTACCTCAGCATCTTACTCCATGGCGGTTCCCGAAACGCGCCCGAACCACACGATTTATATCAACAACCTCAACGAGAAGATCAAGAAGGATGGTGAGTTCTCGGGCTGGTTGCGACTCCGGACCCCGTCTCCCCCCCAACATTCTGTCTCTCTTCCTGCCCTCTCCAGGCAAACTGTTGGCGTTAACTAGTCCCTTGGCCTTTGCACGTGCAACTTCCTGTGCCACGGACAGCCCCTGTCGACCTTTCTCTTTGCGCATTAAATTGGTTAATTGCAAGATTTCAGTTCACAGGACTTATCCCTCTTCCAGGAAGCCCTCCACACCCCAAAGCTCTGACTTACCGTGAGCCCTGGACTTGCCCCCTCAAACCCTGATTCTTCCGGGCCGCCATGGCCCGGAAGTGTTTCTGTGCTGACCTGGGAGCCCCATCAGGATTAAGAACTGGAACTGCCTTGGGCCATTTCTCGGTGATCAACCCATAATGAAATGTTGCACTTGGAAACGAAAATGAAATGAGTAGCAAGCAGTGGGGGCTACCATTGTTGAACATCAGGCGCTGGTATATAAATTCCGGTTTCATTTCCTTTCTGCAGTTACCTGGCAGGCAGGAGCTACACCCATTTCTCAGATGGGAAACCGAGGCCAAGTCATGTGACTTGGCCAAGAGGCCACCAGGCCTGGCAGAAGATGTACTTTCTTCAGCGAGTCATCACTGTTGTCAAGCCAGATTTTCTGTATTTGAAAACTGGGCAAAAAAAAAAAATCTATGTATAAATAACTAAGGAAAGAAAACGCGGTGAGCTTAATATCTTTCTTGCAGGCATGTTAATGGGCGAAGGAGCTGGACCTCTGTGCAGTGCAGTATTTATGGTACTCGACATAGTAAATCCTGGGTCAGTGTTAACTCATCCCGGAAGGAAAGTGTCAGAAGACCCAGAGGAGCTGTTTGGGATTTAAGTTCCAGATTACCAGTAAAGTTACTGTTGAAATTTTAAGCGTGAAGTTTCCTGTAGACACTAGCACATCAGCCCCAGCCAGTTTTGTCATTTTGGGGACACACTGGTGGCAGGGACACTCGTGGTCATGCTTTATGACACCTGTGTGCAGTGGGGATATCCCAGAGCGTTCAGGGTTGGGGTTTGCAAGGAGAGGTTCTCTTTTGGTGTCTTGAAAGAGGAGACACTTGGAAAGCCTGAGTAGAGGAAGCGTTGTTAATGGTGTGAGGGAGGAAAATGGACCCGGCTTGAACTGATGTGCAGATGTCTTAGGGCCAAAGTGCCCTGGGCATTCTGAGAACAAGTGATTTGGGGGATCTGGGGGTCTGGTTTATGGCTCAAGAAGCTTCCAGAGAGTGGTGCCCTGTGGTGCCTGGAGCCTTGTGGGCAGGGTGAGGCTTAGGCTAAATCCTGAGGGCTTTGGGGAACCTGGCAGGAGAAGTCGGTGGTGTGTGAGCTTTCAGTTGGAGTGGGCAAGAGGCGGGGCTGGAGAGGGGCCCAGCATTCGGTAGAATGACCGAGGCCTGCGTGGGTTCATGGGGGTGGGGGTGGGGTGGGAAACCAAACCAGAAGTGTCACCAAAAGGACTTGATCAATTGCTTCAAAACACCTTTGCTCTTCTCCCTTTTGTCCCCTTCTCGCTGTCTTCTTTGCATGCAGTTGGTGCCTTTGCCAGCCTTCAGGTGAGGCAGTTTGCAAGTGAGGTGTGGCACTAGCGTCAAAGGAACTTGATCCATCTGGCCCGGTTGGCTCTGCCTAGCACCCTTGGGACCCTCCTGGGCTAGTGGAAATGCCCCAGAACATGTTTGTGTTATTAAAACAGTTGCTTCTCACGAGGTGGCTGGGAGAATTTAGTGGTGTTGCTTCCATGAGACCCTTCTCCAAGTGTGTGAAGTGTGTGTGCTGCAGTCAGCGCGCAGCATGGGACTGCTTTAGTCATCAGACTGGGTGGGCTTGTATCTTTTCCACAATAAACATGTTAGGAGGAGGAAATGCTGGAGAGGAAAGGAGAGAAGGGTATGAGGAGGGAGGGGAGGTGGCGGGCAATTATTTAGGTCCTCATGGGCAGCCTTGGAGGTAGCTACATTTCTGAGAGCTAGGTGACTAGGAGGCAGCTCTGTACACATCAGAAGAAAGGTGTTCCTGACAGAGTGAGCAGCCAGTGCAAAGGTCCTGAGGCAGAATCATGACACGTGTCCTGAACCCAGTTTCAGTGAGGGGAGGGGCATATGTGGAAGGGATTCCCCACACCGACAAGCAGAATTCAATGTATTTCTGACCCTGACACCCTGGAGATAGCATCAGATTGCACTGGTACAGAGCTCAGGCTTCCAGAATGCCCTCCACTCTAGACGCCGGCTGCAAACTCTGTTTCTGACCAGTTGGGTATAGGCCAGAAGCTCCTGAGACACCCTCCTCAGGTCCCGTTAATTTGCTAAAGTGGAACCCGTTTGACTCGTTGGATCACCCACCTCCAAGCGCTTAAGAACAGCCAGAAGGAAGACATGCTGGGTATGGGGGGCAGGCTTGCAGCTCCCCATGCCCTCTCTGGGTGCACCGTGCTCCCCAGATCACCAGGTATTCGCCAGCCTGGCAGCTCTCTGAAATTCCTGCTTTGGGGTGTTTGGAGGCTTCACTAAGTTGTTGGCAGTTGAGTTCAGCCTCCAGCCCCCCTCTTCCCTCCCAGAGATCAGGGTGGAACTGGGAGTTTCAGCCCCCTCATCTCATGTTTGGTTGGGCTCCCTGGCAGCCAGTCTCATCATAGGAGCTTCCCAAGAATGCCCTCATTCACATAAGAGACACCTTCAACACCCAAGACACCGAGGAAATTTCTAGGCTTTGGAGAGACAGCTACGTATGAGAAATGCGTTTTCTCGACTTGAATGATCGAAATACATCCTAGGAATCACAATACTGCATTGAGCCTGAACAGGCCTGGGGGACCTTTGAGGATGGAGACGTGTGTGTGGTGGACCGGGGTGGGACGAGGCTGCAGAAGCCGGCACAGGCCTGTGCTGCGGTGCTGGTGATGGGAAGTGTTTGTGTTGTGAGCCCTTCGTGCGTATGACTCATGTTCCTCACCTGACGAGCCTGTGGGGGAGACTTGGTGTCCCCACTCCCAGAGACACAAACGCATCCCGCCGCGGGGGTGGTTCTCGCCTACTTGCTGGCCCGAGGCAGCATGGGTCCTCTGTTCATTGGCTGATGATTTCCCTCCAGGCTGCACTTTCCCCTGGAAGGGGGGCCAAAGCCTCAGGAGATGGTGTTGGGGCCTCTGGTGATCAGTGGGGTCTTTCCTCTGCTGCAGAACTGAAGAAGTCCCTGTACGCCATCTTCTCCCAGTTTGGCCAGATCCTGGATATCCTGGTATCGCGGAGCCTGAAGATGAGGGGCCAGGCTTTTGTCATCTTCAAGGAGGTCAGCAGCGCCACCAACGCCCTGCGCTCCATGCAGGGTTTCCCTTTCTACGACAAGCCCATGGTGAGCCCCGGGCAGAAGGGGGTGTGTGGCGAAAGTGTGGGGTGTGGGAGATGGGATGGGCCTGGACCTCCTGTTGCTAACAGCCCAGTCCCTTAGGGTGAGGGTATTTTGGGCTGATCCTTGGCATTAACAGTATACTCCACTATAATGGGGTGCGAGGACACCCTGTGATTAAAGGAGCCCCAACCCTGCCTTCGCAGACCCACCCTGCAGGGATGGCGGGCAAGTCTGTCACCATGTGGCGACACTCAGGGCTGGTATGGGGGTGCTTCTGGAAGGCACCTCATCCAACCAGGGACAGCTTTGTGGTTCAGGTGAGACTTGAAGGAGAATTGATGGGGGAGGAGGGGGGAAAGTATTAGGTCTTTAGAAGGCCCCTAATTAGAGGGTTTCAGGCCCACAGATAACCAAGAACATGGGTAAGTGAGGAAGTGAATCAAGGTCATTAGGCTGGAATTGGGGGGTTAGGCCTGGCCTAGAGAGCCTGTCAAAGTTAGGTCAGGAGCAGGAGTTTGTCCTGAAGTGGATTGGATTTCAGGGGTGCTGAGGAACCGCGGAAAGATTTAGGGAAGTCCTTCTGGCTGTTGGACAGAGTAGAGAGCCCAGTGGCCAGGGTGCGGCTGCGCCTGGGGTCAGGCTATGACCACTGCCTGGGATGGGAGGAAGGGGCCGGCCGAGTGGATGGTGGGGGCAGGGGCTGCGCCTGCGCCTGGGAGGGCAGAGTAACCTAAAGGCCCGGCCCGGAGGACAGTTCTGGGAGGTGTCCTTGGGGCGGTGACAGTGCCTGAGGTCCCAGGATGGAAGCATGTGGGAGACAGCGGGCCCCCAGCTGCAGCAGGGTTACTGAAACCCTCTGCCCGCTGGTATGTTGTCATCTGGGGGGGGGCGCACACCCAGCATTGCCACATCCTTTGATTTCCTTCCGGAATAACTAAAAATTAACTTTTGAGATGTAAAGCCGTATTTTTTTTTTTAAGATTCATTTATGCGTACAAGAACTGAGGTACAGACCAGAGATGGGGGGTGAGAAGATTCACCAGAGACAAGAGTGGGGAGCAGCGGGCGGTTCAGGAGAGGTCTGCTGTGCCCTGTGGGTCACCTCCCTGGCCGGGGATCAAACTCTGCTGCAGTTAGCCTAAACTGTTGCGCCAGCAGGGGGGGGCCCTAAAGCTGTAACTTATATATATGTTGATCCTCCACCCCCTTTTCTTCCCAAATATTTTGCTTGGATCAGATCAGCACAGGTGGGTTGTCAGGAAGACCCATCACCGCAGCCTGCTTCCACCGCCCAGCACCCCCGCCCGTCCTGGGACTGCGGCCACACCCGCTCGTGTGCTCTCGCTTCAGGAGCAGCCCGCCGTGCTTCATCCCAGCCGGGCCCCGCTCATTGTGTCCCTCTCAAAATACCTTGAGATACCACACCCCCATTTCACAGAGGAGGCTGTTGTGGCCAAGTGGGTCCAGATTGTGACTCACCCGGGGCACTTTGCCTCTGAGGCTCCTCCGCAACCCTTCCGCCTCTGTTTGCAGCGCATCCAGTATGCCAAGACCGACTCAGACATCATCGCCAAGATGAAGGGCACCTTTGTGGAGCGGGACCGCAAGCGGGAGAAGAGGAAGCCCAAGAGCCAGGAGACCCCATCTGCTAAGAAAGCCGCGCAGGGTGGTGCAGCCGCCCCAGTGGTGGGCGCCGTCCAGGGGCCAGTCCCGGTAAGCCAGGGCCGAGGGGTCGGCCTCTTTTCCCCGCCTTCCTTTGGCTGACTGACTTGTGCAGAGGGCGGGGCGGCTTCCCCCCACTGCCATGGGGGCGCTCAGACCCCCATGTCCATTTCTTCAGAGGCTGGGAGCTGTCCTTAGGGGGCTGAGCGCTGGCATGACGATGCCTGACGATGCCAGGCCGGATGCCTGTCCTCACGCTTCTCAGCATCTCTGTTTCGGCTCCTTGGTTTCTCTCCGTCTTTGACCTTGATTTCACCATCTTAGTCTTTTACCTCTGTGCTCCTAGACGGTGCAGAAGAATCTGCTAACCAACAGTGGCTCAGTTTAGCAAGGGCGCTAGCGAGAAAGCCCATGTGCGCACGACTGGCTTGATTTCCAAGCACCTGCAGAAAACAAGTAGACTTGAAGTCAGGGACAGTTAAAAGAAGGGCCAGCAGAGGCGTGCAGGCCCCACGGGCACAGGGCAGCATGTGGCTGAGACAGGCGCGGCCCGCAGACGGCAGACGAGCGGCTGTGACGCTCAGATTCTCTTCCTGCGGTTCAGCACCATTCTGATCCGAATCCCAGCCGGAGGTCTTGGGGGCCCTAGGGGCTACTTTGAAGTGTCTGTGGAGAGCAGAGCTGGGCGGTCGCTGTGGTGTTGGCGTGACGTAGGGCAGGATAGGGCCTAGGCGTCTGGGTGTCCCCACACGAGGTTCCCGTGCCCACTGTGATGGGACCGTTGTCCTGGTGAGGGACGCTGGGCTGAGGGGATGAAACGCCCCGCCGCCCTCTGCTCACGAAAACTGCCTTGAGGTGAATCATGTTCTGAACGTGGCAGCTGTTTCCAGGAGAAAACTGGAAAGTGTCTTTAGGACCGCGGTGGGCACACAGTGGAGACATCCTGTTTTCTGAAATGAGGACGAGTGAGGAGAGGCTTGGACCTGCTCCTCCGGGGGCCGGGGTCTCCGTGCCAGCTGCCACACGGGCTGTGTCTGTCCTGCCCGCTCACTCGTCAGTGATGGGGCTTTGGCTGTCCACTTGTGGCCTGCACCGGCTGCCTGCACACATCTCACCGGGCGCCCGTCTCCCCTGCGGTCTGGGCTGTTTCCTTGCCACCCCTCTCTCTTTCTGTACCTGCCTTCCCTGTTTCCACTGCCCACTGTCTTTTCTCTGGAGCTGCAACCCCCCCCCCCCCATTTACTTTTAAAAGCAAATAGTTTGTTCCTTGTAGCGTTTATTTTTACCTTTTTGTCAGCAGTTACATTCCCAGTCTTTTTTTCTGCTCGTCGATAAACAAAGATGGGTCATGTTCATTTTTTAACTCACTCTGATTAAGTGCCCCCCACCCCCACCCCAGTCAGTCTGGCTTCCTCCATCCCCTCTCACCATTTCTGCTTCTGTCCAAGTCTGGCTCTTGCCCCCCCTCACGGCCGTGTCCGCTGACACTGTGCCCCGAACACCGAGAGCCTTGCCCGTCTCCACGGGGCATTTCCCGCCCCACCGGCCACTCAGCCCGCCCGTCTCCGCAGGGCATGCCGCCGATGACTCAGGCGCCACGCATCATGCACCACATGCCCGGCCAGCCGCCCTACATGCCGCCCCCGGGCATGATCCCGCCACCGGGCCTCGCGCCTGGCCAGATCCCACCGGGCGCCATGCCCCCACAGCAGCTTATGCCAGGACAGATGCCACCTGCCCAGCCTGTGAGTATCTAGTCTTCCGGGTCACGTACGAATAAAACAAGAAACTGGTGGGGCCATGTCTGGACAGACCCCCTGGGGAGTGCTGCTGAGTGACAAGGCTGAGGGTGAAGCACTGGGCCAGGCCCTGGCACGGGGGGCTGAGGGGGCTGAGGAGGTGTCGGAGGAGCTTTGCAAGGGCAGGGTGAAGCGGCAGTGGCCAGCACCTCCACTGTTCAGGTGATTTGGTGGACTTGGGGCTGAGCACCCAGTGAGCACCACAGTGCCCTCTTGTGGCTCGCAGGCTTGGGTCAGAGGTGGGGCAGTGTCAGGGTAACTGGAAGGAATTCCAGCGGGGGAGGGAAAGAACAAGAGGGGTGCCTGCCAGACTCAGGGTCTCCCCTTTCTGCCCGCAGCTTTCAGAAAACCCACCCAATCACATCTTGTTCCTCACCAACCTGCCGGAGGAGACCAACGAGCTCATGCTGTCCATGCTTTTCAACCAGTGAGTGGGGCTGGGCGAGGGTGTAGCTGATGGCCAGGAGGGGAGAGCAGAGGGACCCCGGGGTGTGAGAGGTGGAGACCGTCCTGCCGTGCTGGGCTCCAGGGTGGGGTCCCAGGCTCTGGTATCCGAGCGGGAGAGCTGCAAGGCGAGTGAGAGGCAGCAGCAAGGCGTCTGAAGCTTTGCATGAGTCCGTAGGGGCCTGGAAGGTGTCTGCCCTCTGGGAGCTGGGTCCGGGAGAGGCCCCGAGCCTGTGCGCACCGTGGCCCCGCAGACTGCGCCTCCTGACGGTGCCCAGAGACGTTTGGAGAAGCGGGGGAGATCAAGAGCAGTAGCACGTTCTGCACGCATGCAAAACACCGGAGACAGACGGTCCCCTGTGACACGGGGTGCTGCCTACTGGGGCGGGGAGAAAGGAGCGGCCAGAGGTTATTTCTGGGGTGTGGGTAGGTGGGTTAGGGTTGGGACAGACCACGGACAAGTGTCCTGTTCGTCCTGTAGTTAAGAGGCGCAGTGTTCCGTTACAGTGCGTGCTCTTCTTGATGCTGCTGGGTTCCTCAACCTTTCTGTACGTTGGTGGCCGGAGAAGCCTTGATTGGGCAGTGCTGTGTGTGGCACGGCGTTGAAGAGCAGCCCGCCGGTGCCAGAACGTTGGGGGCAGGTGCCGAGCGTGGGTTTCTGAGGTCTGTCGCTACTTCTCAGGTTCCCCGGCTTCAAGGAGGTCCGGCTGGTGCCTGGGCGCCACGACATCGCTTTCGTGGAGTTTGACAATGAGGTGCAGGCGGGGGCTGCCCGCGATGCCCTCCAGGGCTTCAAGATCACCCAGAACAACGCCATGAAGATCTCCTTCGCCAAGAAGTAGCACCTTTCCCCGCGCCTGCCCCATCCTTTGTCCCGGCCCCCCGTTTAGGGGGCCCCCCTTCCCCACCTTGGCTCAGCCCCTGAAGGTAAGTCCCCCTCGGGGGCCTTCTGAGCTGTGTGTGTGCGTGAGTGGTCACACAGCATTGTACCCAGAGTCTGTCTCCAGACATTGCACCTGGCGCTGTTAGGCCGGAATTAAAGTGGTTTTTTGAGGTTTGGTTTTTCACTATCATTTGTCTGTTGTTTTTTATTTTCTCTTGTCCTGTGTCTCTTTCCCCACACTCCCGAATCTTTGGCACTTTCTGGCATGTTGGGGTTTGCAGCCTTGGGAGAATAGCGCCAGGTAGCGCTAGTGTCGCTGAGTCATCTGTAGCGCTCGGCAGCTCTCTGTTCCGTCCCAGTCAGCAGACAGGCCCCGAGGACAGCCAGGTAGGTCGGGTGCTCTGCTGCACCCTGGACCCCCGTCAGGGGCTTCTTCCCCTCCACAGAATCCTCATCGAAGCGCCTGCTGTGGCCACAGAACCCAGAATCCAGGCTGAGGGAAGCGGGCGTTCATGCGCGTATGAACCGTGGAAGGGTCGGGATGACGGAGGGTTTGAGACAGGTACTTGGGGTTCAGGCTCACAGCCCCTGCAGTCTTGTTCAGGAAAATGCCACAGCTGTCACGGGAGTTCCCAGCCGGACTCTCACGTGGGCACTAGAACAGGAGTGTGGCCAGTTCCCAGGGCTCATCTGCCTTGCTGACCAGCGGTCAGCTGGGAACCTCAGGCAAATGGCTGAACCAAATTCCCCTCCAGTGCCGGGGAGTTGGGAAATGTTTCTGGTGGGGCAGCCATGTACCCAGCTGAAGCTAACTAAGGATGAGAGACAAAAGGCAGCTCGCTTAGATGTCACACGCCTGTCCTGGAAGATTTTCATAAACTGACTCAAAAAATTGAACAGGTTGCCTAAGATCTTCATAGTAAATGGGAGGTGAGGCCATCTGTCATAAGTGGACATCAGCAAGAACATACACAGGGACCTTTAATTCCAGGGTCATTTTTACCTGCTCTGCTCGCCCTCTTAAAGGGCGCCCTCTGGGGGCCCTCCCTGGTGGCTGGTGCAAGGGGTCACGTCTCAGCACATGAAGCTCTCCGCAGCCACTGCAGCACGAGTTCAATCCCCGGCCAGGGAGGCGACTCACAGGGTGCAGCAGACCCCCGCTGCTCCCCTCAGTGAACCTCAGTTGATCCGCATGTTCTGCTCTGTCTCTGGTGAAGCCTCTCACCCCCCGCACCTCTGGTCTATACCCCAGTTCTTGTATCTATGAATAAAGACATTTTAAAAGAGAAAGAGGAACGGCAGTCAGTGTTTGAAGCCACAGACTAAAGCACCAGATGTAGACCGTTGGGTGTGGAGGAGGCGGAGGGGGTGGCCGTCTCCTCGGGCACGGTCCACCCCAGCCAGCGGAAGCCTCGCCCACCACATGGCAGCCGCACGTTCTGCGGTTGGCAGGCCTGGTTTCTGCTGTGTGGTGGGGATTCCTGGGGTGTCCCCCCCAGGCAGTTGCAGTCCCCGCCCAAGAGTTTCATTTTCCTGTGTAAAAGGATCCCTTGGCTGTTCACACTGTCGTGTACCTGCCACCCCCCAGCCCCACTGCCCGCGGCACGAGCACAGTACTGAATACTGTTGTTGGCATACGAAATGCAGTGGTGAGCAGAAGGGACAGTCGGCTCGAGGCAAGTACAGATGCCCCTCGGCTGCACGGGCCACGCCTGAGAGGCCCATTCAGAGTCAAAGGCTGCGCGTGCAGCGAACACTACCTCAGCCTAGCCCTCCTCTGATGCGCTCGCAACATTGCTGTTAGGAACAGTGGGGTGATTCTTTTCAAGTCTGATCCCAAGAGGAATCGCCGTTTTACCAGAAGCAGGAGACACCGATGAGAATTTTGTAGACAGGATGCGGAGGGCAAACTAGATGTCTGAGCCCTTCTCTCGTCCACTGGTGACTGATGGTGCAAGTCCTTAGAAGCCCGTCCTTTATTTATTGCATAGAAGAATTGGGGTACAGGGCAATGCAAGCACCGAGAGGATTCACCAGAAGACAGTGGGGAGCAGAACAGGCAGATCCACTGAAACACTGCTGAGAAGAGCAGTAGGGAGACAGGAGAGGTCTGCTGCGCCCTGGGGGTCAGCTCCCTCACTGGGGGGTCGAACTCAGGCTCATGGCCTGTGGCGGTGAGCTGTGGCGCTAGCTCCTGCCTGCACCAGCAACAGCTCGTGCTGCCTGTTGCTAACCCAGAAAAGGTCAGGACTTGCAGTTGCTACCAGTGCAGTCTGGTATTGCCTTGCCGCCACAAAGTGGAGTGATTGCAAGTTGAGGCCCGTCTCTACCGTGTTACATGAACAACTGGGCTGGTGGGGTTGGAGCACACCACTTGGGGGTGTCAGGAAAGGCCCCCTGAGGTAGCAGTTGAGTGGAAATGTTTTCCCCCTTCATATTACCTGGTCCTGGGAATGTGGAGATGACTTAGGTCTCCTACCCCAGCCTGTGTGTCACCAACCTTTTCCCACCTGGGAGAGGGCTTGCTGGCCCAGAGGGGAGAAACCCTGGAGAAGGGTTGGCAGTAGATCTCAACTTGGGGGTTGAGACTAGTTCAGACCCTTTGCCACTTGGAGCCAGACCTTGGGCAAATGTGAACTCCAAGCTCTGCGGTCACAGCTGTGGGCCTGGAGCCAAAGCCAGCCCCTCCACTGTGCAGCCTGCCTCCTAGGACATGCTGCTTCACTCCTGTTTCCTGTAAAACGGGGCTCGGGCCCTCCCTGGCGCAGCTGGTTAAAGCACAGCACTAAGAAGCTAAAGCCACTTCAGCAGGAGTTTGGTCCCCATCTCAGGTGACCCACATGGCGTGGCAGACCTCGCCTGACCCGCCGGCTGCTCCCCTCAACAGTGTACTTTGTCAATCTGTTACAGGGCCAGGAGAGAGGGCCTGAATCCCCCACTGAACCCTCAAACCTGCCTGCTCTAAATAGGCTCTACCATCTACTGCATCAAGACAAAACAGAAGACTTTAATGAAAAGGAACTTTAATACAATTTAGTATACAATACGGAAGACAAAGAATATGGTTTCTAAATCAAACACCTGAAGTCACCCATCCGCTCGTGAGCAAAAGTCCACCCAGAAGGGATTGGCGCAAAGCAAGGCCTGAAAACTGCCACAAGACTAAAGCACCTTCTGGCCAGGACCCACAGAAAAGGGTTAGAAATGGCCAGACAAGTCTGAGAGGAAAAGAGGAAAATTAAAATCAACATAAACACTGCCATGGTCACCTCCCCACTGGTCTCTCACATCTCTTTCACCTGGTCCAGGGCCAAGAAATAAACACGGTTTCTTCACAGGCCCCCTTTGCTCCCTGTGGCTCCCTCAGGCCTCCTCCTGGCTCTCCATCCTGCTTCCTTCCTCTCCTCTTCTTTTTTCTCAGCTCCACCCTCCTGGGTGGGGCAGGGAACCTGGAACTTTCCTGGGGACCACCTGTTCTGCTCCCCTGCTCTGTCTCTGGTGAATCCTCTCACGGCCTCTTTACCCCAGTTCTGTATGCATAAATAAGTAAATCTTTTTAAAAGAAAAATAGACATGGTGAATGCTCTAGGTTTTATGACCCCTGGTTTTACTTTTTTAACCAATTTATGTATTTTTGCATACAAGAGCTGGGGTGCAGACCAGAGGTGAGCGGGTTCACCAGAGACACTGGGGAGCAGAACAGGTGAATCAACTGAAATCCACAGCGCAGAGATAGTTGAGGTCTGTGCCCTGTGGGTCAGCTCCCTGGGTGGGAGCTAACTTGAGCTGCAGTGGCTGCAGTGCTGTGCACCAGGCAGCCCTCTGATCCCTGTTTTATGGCTGAGAGGGGAGAGGGCTTAGTCCAGGTCACCCAGTCAGGAAGCAGCCTGTGAGTGTGCAGTGAGGAGGGCTCTGCCTGGCCTAAGGCCCAATCCATAATCACAGTTCTGGAGCGCTGGGGCTATTTCTGGTAATCAAAGGGCTGCCTGTTCTGCTGACCTCTCAGCACAGGAAATTCCAAGGTGGTTTTCCTTGTGGCTCCTCAGATTCTGTCCCTGGAGGGGATGGGAGGGGTCCAGGTACTCACCAGTCTAGGGAAGATAGAACTGAATATCTCTTCCTGCCTGGGCCTTTCTGATTGTTGATGGGGGAGGGGTGGCAGTCACTGGGAGAGGCCAGAGCTGCTTTGGGCCTAAGTAGGCATTTCCTGGGGCTAGTAGCCCTCAGCCTGCCCTTGAAATGGTTCTGGCTCTGGCTCTGGCTGTGTAGCAGCCCCTAGGTGGTGTGGGGGAAATTTGGGCCTGGTTTAGGGCGGGGACAAGAACAAGAACACTGGTTACCTTGTGCTGGAGAGGAGGGCTGAAGAAACTGGATCCCAACCCCCTGGCCCCCTCCTTGGGTTACTCACTCACTCTTGGCTCGCCATGGCTCAGTCCTGGGAGTTCCTCATTGTCTTCATCTTGCTGTCCGCCTCCCCAGAACCTAGTGTCGGAGGCCGCCCCATGCCCAAACTGGCAGATCGGAAGCTGTGTGCTGATGCAGAATGCAGCCGTAAGAGCGGGGCGGAGGGAGTTGGGGTTACCAGCCTGTGCTGTCAGGGGGTGCTGTCATTCCCTTCTGTTGCTTCCCCAGATCCCATCTCCATGGCTGTGGCCCTTCAGGACTACGTGGCCCCTGACTGCCGCTTCCTGAACATACAGAGGGGTCAAGTGGTCTACGTGTTTTCCAAGTTGAAGGGCCGAGGGCGGCTCTTCTGGGGAGGCAGCGTGAGTCTTGGGAGAGTTGAACAGGAAAGAGGCTGGGTTGGGGTGGGGCTGCACCTTCATTTTCCATTCTAAGGGGAAACCTGAGGGTGTGAGTGGAAATTGAGGTGGGGGGGGCTGTTGTGATTATTTTTATTTTGCTTAGCAATTATAGTGCCTCTGCTGTGAGGCCCAGACACTGATGATGCAACAGTGAACAGTCCCTTTTATTCTAATAAGAGGAGACAAGTATGAAAAACATCTAAATATGTGTTCCTTTGAGAGTTAAGGGGGGGCGGGGCTCTGGGCAGGCAGCTTCTGGATGCTGAGATTTGAAAGACAAGGATGGAGCCAGCCACGGGAAGGGGATAAGAGAAGTGGGATGGTTTTTGGCAGGAACGAGTTATCCTCCTCGCAGGCCTAGCCCCTAACTCTTGCTCCTCAGGTTCAGGGCGATTACTACGGAGACCTGGCCGCTCGCCTGGGCTACTTCCCCAGCAGCATTGTCCGTGAGGACCAGACGTTGAAACCTGGCAAAGTCCAGGTGAAGACAGATGTGAGTGTCTAGGGGCTGGCAAGAAACTGGAGGGAAGAGCCTGGGTTGTGATGATGAACCAAAGGAGGTTCCCCATCTCCTGGCCCCCAGGGGTCTACCTGTGCACATCAGGGCCAAAAAACCCTGACTCAGTTTTTCATCTATAAGATAGGGAGTGAGTGGCCAGTAGAGATGCTAATTTTCTAGGGCTCAAGGTGCTCAGGTTAATTTGCATGACACTTGTGTTGCCAAACCTGGATGCAGCCATAAGCTAAAACCACTAGATTCTCTGTGGTATTACTTTTGCCTTTTTCCTCACTGTTTCTCCATTCTCTTTCAGAAATGGGATTTCTACTGCCAGTGAGCTCAGCCTATCACTGTTCCAGCTGTTTTTCCTCCCCGGTTTTATGCAAATACATCAGCCAAGTGCAAACTGTTGGTGGTTTTTGTGGTGGGGTGGGAAAATACAAAGGAAACAGTTCCCCAGGTTTCTGAATGTAGCCTATCGGACCACGGCCAGTGTTTACGTCAAAGGTTGCCAGCAGGGTTACGGACTAAAGGCTCCTCTCCGGGCAGGATACCGGAGGCGGGCTCGTAAGTCGGACACAGCAAATGAAAAGACGTAATAACGTAAACAGCCCAATGTGGGGGTTGTAGTGTCTCCTCTAGACCAGTGAAAGGGAGCAGAAATGCCGGAGGAGCCAATCGGCTCATGAGGAAGCCAGATCGCACGCCCGAGGTTTTAAGATTATCTGCAGTGGGAGGTGGGAGGGAACCCGCGCTTTTCTTCCCAGCTTTCATCCTTCCTGCTTTTGAGATCAGAAATCGCCCTCGGCAGCTCAAGACCCGCCTCTCCACGAGGTCGTCCCTGCTGCCCTCACCCCTTTGATCTGTGCTGCGTCCCGCAAGCTCGCTTCTGCCCAATCCAGAGTCTCGATTCTACTCCATACCCCTGACCAAATCCGTTTCTCCGCTCGGCGAAGCCCCTCTGCACCGCCCCTTCCCACCTGCTCGGCCAATCACTCGCCTTGAGCCCGCCTCTTTTGTCTCATGGGGCCAATCCGCGCCTTTTGTCCCGCCCCCTGCCCGACCTGTCCGCCAATCCTTGCCCGGGGAAGCGTGGCCAGGTATCCCGCAGCCCTAGCGGGTCGCGCCGGAGGGGGTGGAGGCGGAAGTGGCGGCGCCGGGCCCCAGGAGTAGGAAGGAGCCGGGGCTGCAGCCGGAGTGGAGCGGCTGCCAGCCGAAGAGCAGGCGCGGCCGCGGCGCCATATTGCGGCCCAAGACGGCCGCCACCGAGTCATGGCCGAGACCTACGGTGAGGACGGAGGGCCCAAGCTGGCTGGGGGCTGGGGCCGGGGAGGATGCTGCTTTGGGGATGGGGGCGGGGCTTTCCACACCAGGGGGCGGGGTCTGATGTGATGGGGCAGGGCCTTGTGGATGTTGGGAGGGGCTTAGTGCGTCTGAGGCTGAGCCTAATTGTCTGGGCGGAGCCTGGGGGTCTGGCGTGTGGGTTTAATGGCTCTGGGGCGGGATTTGAGGGAGTCAATCTTGATGGATCAGGGTAGGCCTTGAGTGGAAAGGGTGGGTCTTAACGTGTCGGGGCGGAGCCTGAATCGCCGCCGTGGGGCTGGCCGTGAAGGTAGGGGTGGGACTCGACGGACCACGGATGCTCTGGACCCGGGGACTGCTGTTTCTTGAGATCTGGAATAGAGTTTGGGATGAGGTGTCCTTGAATTAGGGGTGGGGCTAGTGGTAAGGGGTGGGGCTTAGTAGGGAGAAGAGGGGCAGGGCCTTGGATGGAGGGAGAACTGTCAAATCAGGTTGGATGGACGCAGCCTAAGGATGGGGTGCAGTAGAAAGAGCTCTAGTTAGTCATTTAGCAGAGTGCAAAGCCCTGAGGTGGGAACCAGCCTGTCATTTCTAGGGAATAGACTGAAAATACTAGTAGTGTGGACTGAGGTTCACAAAGTGACAGTGGGCAGGTCGTTGAGGGGCAAAGGTGAGATTGAACCCCTTGTTAAAATGACTGTCAGGAGTCTTTAATGCATGTCATATTTAAGCTCTCAGGCTCTGGAGCCAGACTCTGGATTCAGGGGACCTTGGGCAAGTTAGTTAACCTTTATGGCAGCTTCCTCAAGAGGAAAATGGGGCTGATTGTACATATCTCCTCATAGAGTTTCCCTGAAGGTTTAATGAACTGTTGATGTAAATAAAGAACTTTAGACCTGTGCCCAGTCTGTGATAAGCACACTGTAAGAATTAGCAACTGTCGGGCTGTGGTTGTTACCCATTGCTCTGTTTCTGTGTCTTTCTCTCCTGGTACCTATGACATTCTCTTGGGTTCCACCTGACCCTCCCGCCCCCCGTGTGTATCTTTCCGTATGGGTTTCCTGGATCTTGGCTCCATCTGCTCAGACTTCCTCTTCAAATTCCTGGTGATTGGCAGTGCTGGAACTGGCAAATCATGTCTCCTTCATCAGTTCATTGAGAATAAGTGTGAGTTTCTGGGAGTGGCCCTGGGAGCACTGAACTGTGGGTGCGGGTGTGGCTCGGGCGGCTGCCTGGCCCTTGCCTTGGCCTATGCTGTTCGCTGCGACCTTCTGGATCCACACTCGCCCTGGCAGTAAGAACGAGCTTGGGGAGGCCTTGGAGGACAGGGAGGCCTGAGAGCCCCTGCACTGCCTTTTCCTTCTATACCCAGTCAAACAGGATTCCAACCACACGATTGGCGTGGAGTTTGGATCTCGGGTGGTCAACGTAGGTGGGAAGACTGTGAAGCTACAGATTTGGGACACAGCTGGCCAGGAGCGGTTTCGGTAGGTGGTCTGGGCTCCTGAGAAGGGAAGAGGGGAGAGACAGAGAGAGAGAGAGAGAGAGAGGCGTACAAGCATTTGGAGACACTAGGTAGGCGCAGGAAGACACTTGAGAAGGCAGCAAGGCAGAGGACAAGAGCTGGAAAGTGGTTGATCAGCACATAGAGATAGCCAAAGGGGTGAGATCCTAGAGCAAGGATGACAGACTGGGAGAAAAGTAGACCGAGAAAGAAAGGAAGCCAGACAGGAAAGTAAGAGAGCCAGGTAGGAATGGAAAGCGCCTAGAGAGACTGTTGTGGACAGACGCGTGGCTGGAGGGATGGAGACTTGTGCCTGGGAGACACAGGGCCTTGAAGGAGAGGAGATGCCTGGGTGAGGGCAAGGGGTAGATGCTGAAAGAGGAGGAAACAGAAGGACATCCATTCAGAAAGGAAGAGAAAAACTAAGAGCCCCCGAGAGACCCAGAAGACAGGGCGAGTAGGACAGGTGAAGCCAGAGAGATGAAGAATGGGGGTGCTGGGGGAAAGGAGTGTGCAGGGCTGTGCACACGTGTCTTCAGGAAGCGCCTGCAGAGGAGGTGACAGGACATTGAAACCCTGCATCTGAGGAGCAGAGAGAGCGGAGCGACAGGGACCGCAGCCTGGGCCACACTTAGCAGCTGCTCAGTTAATACTCCTGTGCATGGAACCTGGAGACAGAGATGGAGGGGGGTGGGGGGTGGGGGCAGCATGGGCTGGGGCGGCGGGCGGTGCTTAAGGAGTGCTTGTGGGATGATTGAGCGGCTTCCAGAGGGACCCAGACTGGACACAGGGAGACATGGACAGTCAGCTGCCCTGGGAAGGGCCTCCAGGCACAGCTAGAGAGGGACAAATGTGTTTGCATAGCACTGGGCCAGGGCTGCGCAGAGGACAGATGACTGGGTGAATGCGTAGGAGGGCAAGGGTGAGGGTGACATGAGACAAAAGGGCAGCGACAGAAAAGAGGATTGTAGAGACACCAGCGAGGAGGGTATCCATGACGAGCTACAGAAAGAGAGGGACACGGGAGAAATGCAGACAGACGGACAGACAGACAGCTGGCTAAGTGAGACAGGGTTTGAGGAAGACAAGGAGACTATGAGATGGAAATTGTGGGGAGACCAGACCACACCACGTTTTGGGGAATGGGTCTGCAGTGAAGGGGGGTCTCCGAACCACCAGTCTCTTTCCGCAGAGGGGGGCAGTCTTGGGGCAGACCCCAGCTTTCGGGTGACTGGGTCCCCCTGGCCCCACAGGTCGGTGACACGAAGTTATTACCGAGGGGCGGCTGGAGCCCTGCTGGTGTATGACATCACCAGGTGGGTGCACGGAGTGGGTGGGTCTGGGCGGTCCCTCTCCCGCCCCTGCCCCCCTTCTTCCTCCCTCCTCCTTCTTCTCCGTAGCCGGGAGACCTACAACTCACTGGCTGCCTGGCTGACGGACGCCCGCACGCTGGCCAGCCCCAACATCGTGGTCATCCTCTGTGGGAACAAGAAGGACCTGGACCCCGAGCGTGAGGTCACTTTCCTGGAGGCCTCCCGCTTTGCCCAGGAGAATGGTAAGGGGCCTTTGGTGGGCCCCGGGGGCACTGGGGGCACTGCACAGGGCCAGGGGGCCTCCTGGCACTCTGTGCCAGTGCCCAGCCGTGGATGGTGGAGGTTTAAATCCCAGGGCTGCCTGCCACTCGGCGAACCTCCATTTCCTCCTCTAGTGAGTGGGAGTCCACATTTCTGCCTCACGTGGGTGGCAGTTAAGGGAGATGGTGCATGGAGAGCCCTCAGCCCGGCCTGGCGGGGCCTGGGCACTTAACTAATGCTGGCTGCTAAGGAGGTATCCGCCACCAAGGAGAGGCACTGGGGTGTTGGTGTGAGGTGGAGATCGCCAGCTCCCACGGCCCCAGGGGATGGGCCCATCCATGAATAAGGGACATGGGATGGGGCAGACCCCAGGTCTGGAGGCCCTGGCATTAGGAGAGTCAGGACGAGCCTGCAGCCATGCCGGAGGTCAGCAAGTGTAAACTCATTAGGAAATACCGTGTTTGCGAAACTCCTGCTGTCTTAGGATCTGCACGGGCTAGTCCAGGCCGTTTTAGCATCAGAGAGAGCTGGGCTTGAATCCTGGCTCTTTCTTACCTACTGTGAGGCCTTGCAGGTGGCTGATGGGTAGTCTGCGATGGCCTGGGCCTGTGCCAGATGGTGCTGTGTACCCAGTGATGAAGGTCACCCTGGGCACACTCCCATGGGCTTGTTCGCCAATGAGTGAGTGACCCCTTTCCAGACAGCAACACCCTAGAGAGGTTAGGGCCAGGTGGGGGAGGCCCGGGAGCAGTGGGAGTTCAGAGGAGCCACCTGATCCATTCTGGGAGAGCAGGGAGGTCTTCCTGGAGGAGGTGATGTGCATGCTGAGCTCTGAAGGAAGAAGTTGGAGGTTATCTCAGGGGAGGGAATTTTTTTTTTTTAATCTATGCATACAGAACTGGGGTATAAGCCAGAGGCGCAGAGGCAGTGAAAGGATTAACCAGGGACAGAGTGGGGAGCAGAACAGGCAGATCTACTGAAACACACTGCTGAGAGGAGCAGAGGGTGAGACAGGAGACATCTGCCA